ATATGTTGGATTTTACATTGATTTATCACGTGACCATCGTCTCATGATTCAAACCGGGCACAGATTCACTTTTCGCTCCTGCCGATATCCTTCTATGGAAACTCAATGCGATGCCATAGAATAGGAGCACCACAGTATTATCAAAGATGGTTAACAAGCAGAGTGGTATAGAGGGATCGATCAATTTCTAAAAAATATAAGATCAGTTCTAGTAATTCCGGCAAATAAAAAATTTTGGTTGTACCATTCTTAAATTGTATATTATATATCTTTAATCGAAAAAAAACAGCTAATGTTCGGATAATTAATTTAGGCGCATTTTTAAATTTATATTTATAAACTTTTGAATTAGATATTTATTGTCTGGAGCGAAGTGGAGGGCATTCAGTTTCTAGGTACTAGGGGGGTGAATTTATATCTTTTTCGTGTACTCGATATAATCACTTTCTACCTCGATACAATTACTTCCTAATTCGATACAGTCACCTCCATTGTTATTTTACACATATGTTATAATAAAAATTTCGAGTTACGTATGTTATACACGTAAAAAGTTTAAATTCGTAAAACTATATCACTAACTGTTTAAAGAAATAATCAGTAAAATTAAAGTCACCCATCAAGTATTCTTCTCATAAAGGATTTGGTAATTAATAAAAAATTCGCAAATGATGAGTATATATTACTACAAGTCGATTCTTTTGAATTAATCAATCCTTCTGAACTATTTTTTTTTTCCTTCAAAAAACAATTATTGCAGAATTTAAAAAAAGAATTTATTGTATAGTAAATAATTCAATGAATTTTATATTAGTCGTGATGCAAACCTGTCTATAATACAATTATACATATGTAATAAAATTTATTTTCAAGCTTATTTAGAACGTAATGTATAAAAGTTTAAAAAAAGTTAAAATAAAAAATTATTCAAGGCAAAAATATTAACAATTCACTAAATTTTATTAATCCTAATGCACTTCGAATGCGAAGAATGAGAGAAAATAATATACCTGAGAAGTGTGAGGAACGCCTTGCTCATGATCGTCAATGAAAAGTGTCAAAAGCTAGCAGTAGAAACTGTCGATGAACATAAAACACGTCTAGCTCGGATACAAGATCGATATAGTTATAAAACTTCGGCTCAAAATATATCAATTATACATGAGAAGCATACTTTGAAGGATGCTAATAATTGTTTTAATGATCAAAATCAAAATGCTACTCAAGTTAATAAAATCCAATATGCTAAATCTCTTCCTTACATGGCACCTGTAGAAAAGCTTTCTACATTAGATAGAAAGTGTTTACTTATTTTCAGAATGCAATAAAAAAATTAAGTAACAGACTTTGTCCTACCTGCAATAAGCGATTTCCATCTATTGAACTTGTCTGAGGAGAATGTTGGTGCTGTTATAGTGAAAAAAAGTATGCCAAAGAAGTTTTCTGCAGAAAATAATATGGATCCAGGTATGAAAATTTTTAGTTAATTGTTTATTATTTAAAGATAAAATCTTGTATACCTTTTAGGTGATATACCTCAAGAACTTCGAGGACTTATTGAAATCAAAGAGATGTTGATCGCACAAGTGTTCCCAGTCATGTTGATATACAAACTCCATGGAGAACAATATGGATACTGTCATATATCTTCCTACCTCAGGAGAAAGATATGGACGGAGAACTAATAGCAGGGAGACACTTTGTATGGAT